TGGACGTTAAGTAATAGCTTTACACAATTTAGCTCGGACCCTCCCTTTTATATACCGGGACTTCCAGGGCACAGAGAGGAGAAGAGAAAAGAGAATGGAAGAACTAGATGGGTAAGAACTTGAGAGGAACGAACTGAGATGGGGAAGAACTAGATTGAAGAGCTAAAAGAGAGGACTAGAGGAACAAGATGGAAGATGAAGAAGAGCCAGATGGGGAAGAACAAGATGAGGAAGAACGAGAAGAGGAGAGAGGAGACAGGAGAGGAGATGATATGAGAAGGAACAAAATGGATGAGAACCTAGAAGGGGCAGAACTAGATGAAGGAATTAAGATAGAACCTAGAGGGGATCGTAGACAAGTGTAGAGAGAAATCAGGCTAAAGATGACCTAAATATGAGAGCAGAATATAAGCTTATAACTGTCACAGAATAATAAAATATATGGACTAAGGAGTTTCATGTACATAGATTCATTTCATTTCATCAAAGATTAATTATCAGCTGGTTGTAGATTCTTCCCGGACCCTGGGAGGGGACTATCGAGGGACTGGACCCCTATAGTCCCCAATAACATGAGATAATTTATTGTAGCTCAATTACTTGTTTAGAGGATAGTGGAACTGTTCTCTGAGCAGTTGTCTATATTTTTGTTTTTGTTTGTGGTTTTTTGTTTGTTTGTTTGTTTGTTTATAAGACTTATTTATTATGTATACAGTGTTCTGCTTACACACAAGATCTCATTACAGATGGTTGTGAGCCACCATGTCATTGCTGGGAATTGAACTCATGACCTCTGGAAGAGCAGCCAATGTTCTTAACCTCTGAGCCACCTCTCCAGCCCCTTGTTTGTTTGTTTTTGAGGGGAGGGGTGAAACGGTCTCTTACAGCCTAGGCTGGTCCGAATTTAATATGTAGCTGAGGCTGGTCTTGAACTCCCGTATCCTCAGGGCTCCACCCCTACTTCTGGGACTTCAGATATTTTATTTCTTTTTGTTTTAAATTAAATTCCTATTAATTGATAACTAAAAATATAACTGCAATATATTTATTGGCTACCTGCAATGTGTCAATATATGCGTAAATAAAAAAAATCATGTACTTACTTATTTACATTTTGTTTATTACATTTTATTTATGTATGTGGTGTGTGTGTGTGTGTGTGTGTGTGTGTGTGTGTGTGTGTGTGTGTGTGTGTGTGTACTAGGGATGGAACATGGGCAGGCAGGCAGGCAGACACAGCAGCAGGCACCTCAACCCACTGAAACATCTTTCCAGCCTCGTCTTTTTTTTTTTTTAAACTACATTTATTTACTTACTGATCTGTTTGGGATGGGTGGGACACACTCAGGGCACAGGGCACTTATGGAGGTCAGAGGATGACTTGTGGGGATCACTTCTCTCCTGTCCTGTGCCTCCTAGGCATCAAAACTCAGGTCTTCGGGCTCCATGCTAAGTGCTCCCACCAACTGAGCCATCTCAACAATCCCTAAACTGTTATCTGAAATAGAATCTTAGGCTGTGGCCCAGGCTGGCCTGGAACTCCCAGCCATTCTCCTGCCTCTGCCCCCTGAGCGTTGAGATTACAGGTATGAACCGCCACACTCATCTACACGAAGAGCTCTTTGATTGAATGTCTGAAGTGCTGAGAGTCAATCAACTTTGGGATGCAGTGGTCTGTGCTGGTGGTTATAGCTGCTGAGGTAAGGGGAGCCCTTGAATCTGCAAGTCTGAGGCCAGCCTGGGAACATACAGGGACTCCTGTCTCAAAGCAAATAAAAAAATAATTTGAAGAAGCAGCAAAACGTCATGCTCAACGCTTTCCAGTTCCTAAATAACCTATTTCTTTCAGTATCATGTGCTTGTAAGACAATGGGGTAGAAAGCTAGCTATTTTTAGTTTATCACTTCACCCTCTTAAGGACATTACTCATAGCCTGGGCATGGTATACACACCTCGGATCCCAGGACTTGAGATGCAGAGACAGAGGCAGGGGGATCTCAGAATTTGAAGCCAGCCTGGTCTACATGGTGAGTTCTAGGACAGCCAGAGCTGAGACTCTGTCAAAGAAAGAAATTCATGTGTGGAAGACAATTTTGAGTCTCTTTGAAAGTCATGTAGCAACTCGCTAGACTAGTCTTATTTTGGAAAAATTCAGACTTCTGTGAAATAAAGAATATAATGAGCCGGGTGGCGGTAGTGGCGCACACCTTTAATCCCAGCACTCGGGAAGCAGAGGCAGAAGGATCTCTGTGAGTTCGAGGCCAGCCTGGGCTACAGAGTGAGTTCTAGGAAAGGCACAAAGTTACACAGAGAAACCTTGTCTTGAACCGCCCCCCTCCCAAAAAAAAGTATAATGACTCAGCTCTGGGGAGACTGGAGCAGACAGATCTTTGTGAGTTCCAACCCTGTCTTAGGTAGGTAGGTAGGTAGGTAGGTAGATAGATAGATAGGTAGGTAGGTAGGTAGATAGAGATAGATAGATAGATAGATAGATAGATAGATAGATAGATAGATAGATAGATAGATGATGGATGGATAGATGGATGATGGATGGATGGATAGGTAGGTAGATAGATTGGTAGGTAGGTAGGTAGGTAGGTAGGTAGGTAGAGATGGATAAGAATAATGAGTCCCTATGTTCCCTTCACACAGTTTTAGTGGTTCTCTGCGTTCTCGCTTTTTGTTTTGTTTTTCAAGACAGGGTTTCTCTGTGTAGCCCTGGCTGTCCTGGAACTCACTCTGTAGACCAGGCTGGCCTGGAACTCACAGAGATCCACCTGCCTCTGCCTCCTGAATGCTGGCATTATGACCAGCTCCATTCTTGCATCCTTATCTCCAGTACTTGTTTATTTATTTATTTATTTTTTTTTTTGGTTTTTCGAGACAGGGTTTCTCTGTGTAGCTTTGCGCCTTTCCTGGAGCTCACTTGGTAGCCCAGGCTGGCCTCGAACTCACAGCGATCCGCCTGGCTCTGCCTCCCGAGTGCTGGGATTAAAGGCGTGCACCACCAACGCCCGGCCCTATCTCCAGTACTTGTATCACCCTCTCCACCCCCATCCACCCCTCATCTGAGGTCAAGTGAAAATGTGTATGAATCAAACCAGGCTTGCTGTGTTTTACTGATCCTGGGTCACTTTCACGATTATTACCAAGACAAGGTAATCCATCTTCTTCTTTTTTCCAGAGCTGAGGACCGAACCCAGGGCCTTGTGCTTGCTAGGCAAGTGCTCTACCACTGAGCTAAATCCCCAACCCCAGTCCATCTTCTTTGTAGTCGTGGTTTCAATCTCATGATTTAGAAGATTGTCTTTGGGGCTGGGAATGTGGCTCAGTTGGTAGAGTGTTTGTCTACCATGTAGGAAGTACTAGTTTAGGTCCCCAGCAGTACATAAAACCAGTGTGGAGATGTAGGCCTGTAATCCCAGCACTGGGAAGGGGAGAGGCAGGAGGGTCAGAAATTCAAGGTCATTCTCCGCTACACAGTGTATTCATTGACAGCCAGCCTGGGATACTTGAGACAATTTCTTACAAAATGAAAAAAAAGAAAGAAAAACCTGAACAAAAACAAAGAAATCCTGGTTTAACCCAGGTTTGCAAGTGGCAAAGTTGTAAATGGGTAACAAAAATCTACTCAGTGGGGGTCACATCAGGGCTCGGTGGGAAAAGGGGCTTGCGGCCCGAGCCTGATGACCTGAGTTCAATTCCCGGGATCCACGTGTTGCAAGGTGAGAACCAACTCGCATAAATTGTCTTCTGACCTCCACGCGCGTGCAGTGGCATGTGCATTCCACTCTCTCTCTTACACACACACACACACACACACACACACACACACACACACACACACACACAGAGAGAGAGAGAGAGAGAGAGAGAATAATGTAATTTAAAAAAGGGTACAAGAGAGACTGGGTACAAGGGGTTCATTTCAAGGGGCAGGAAGACAGGAGAAGGTGATGGGAGGGAATATGATCAACGTGTATTATATACGTACACGATTGTGCAAGAGTGAATACAATGTTTATTTTATAAAAAGAGAATTTCTCCATCTGTAAAATGGAGGCCATGATTATGAACTGGCTTTGCTGAGTAAGTGAAAACCTTACCAGTGAGACAGAAAGCGAGACAGAACTGTAGTGGTGTTCCACAGAGCCAAAGAAAGAAGGCAGAGGAGATTTTACAGGTGGTCCCCGCCCCCATCCTCCCTAACAGGCAGCATGGGCCCAGGACTTTCTTCTTTTCATAGCTTGGGAAACTGAGTCACGCCTGGACTCCCTTGCCTGAGGCTGGGTGTTCACTGATGAAAGTTAGAACCCCGCCCCGCCTCCTGTGCTGGTTGGTGCAGGGTCACGTTCACCCGTGTTCTTAGTCTTCTCATAAAGACGCAAACCTTGCAAGACAAGTCCAGTCTTGTTCAGGAATCGCCATTCCCACAGGAGGGGTGTGTGGAGAGTGTGAGCACAGCACGCTACAGTATTGGGAAGGGATTTGCCTCCGATGTAGGTGGCTAGTTCACACACACACACACACACACACACACACACACACACACACACACGGACTTCTTAGCTCTTTCTCTTCATATCCAGCACTCCCCGGGTGCCAAGCCCCGAACCAAAGGACACCGTTCTTCTTCTCGTGGAGTTTACCTTGCCACAATGAACGGCGACATGTCAGAATTGCTGCGTTGGTTTCTTAGAGCCGATGCATTGAATGCCTACAAGTTGGGTGGCTTGAATAACAGAAATAGATTCTCTCACAGCAATAGAGACCGGAAGTCTGAGAGTGCTTGTTGGCAGAGCCCGTGGTTTGAATGCGTAATGTTTGAACTCTTGGATCCCAGCAGGGGCTGGGGGGTGATGTTTTGAGAGACTGTGGAACCGTCTGGACACAGTGCCTAACTGGCCAACTTAGGCTATAGGGGTGGGCCTGGGTAGCTATGGCTAGATCCCCGTCCTGCTGACTTCTCTGCTCCATGGCTTTCATGGATGTGAGAAACCATGCCCCTAAGTCCCTCTGCCATGGATGATGCTACCTTCTGTTACGTCTTTGCCACCATGAAGGACTGTATCTGTTCTTTTTTGTTTTGTTTTGTTTTGTTTTGTTTTTCGAGACAGGGTTTCTCTGTGTAGCTTTGCGCCTTTCCTGGGACTCACTTAGTAGCCCAGGCTGGCCTCAAACTCACAGAGATCCGCCTGGCTCTGCCTCCCGAGTGCTGGGATTAAAGGTGTGCGCCACCACCGCCCGGCCTGTATCTGTTCTAATTTGAGACTACATGAGACCTTTCCCTCATAGGTTATTTGGTCACAGCCAGATAAAAACTAATACAGCGATGAACAATCTTTCTTTGCCTTTCCCCAGCGTCTGGGGGTTCCAGGAAATTCCTGGCTTGTGGCTGCCTCGCTCCAGCCTCCAGCTCTGTCTTCGCCTGACTTAGTGCCCACCCATACAATCCAGAATGACCCCATTTTGAGACCCTCTTAACAGCAATGTTGCTTCTTCGGAGTAAGCTCGTGTTAACAGGCTCTGGGCAGACATGTATTTTTAGAACTCACTATATAGTCACGGCAATCCACCTGCCTCAGTGTCCCAGCTGCTGGGATGTTTACCTCAAATGCCCTGAAGTTCAGACACACACACACACACACACACACACACACACACACACACACACACACGACTAAAAGAAATCTTATCATGTCTATTCTAGATGTAAGACAAAACTGACTAAGGATTATTAAAAACAGGGAAGCTACTAGGCAGTGGTGGTTCACATCTTTAGTTTCAGCACATGGGAGGCAGACAGGCATATCTCTGAGTTTGAGGTCAGCCTGGTCTACAGAGTGAGTTCCAGGACAGCCAGGGCTACACAGATACACAGAGAAACTCTGTTTCAGAATAAAAAAAAAAGTCGAGTGGAGGGGAAGGGAGCTACCAGAGATAAGATCTATGGATATATGAATATTCGCATAAAAATACCTTTAAGACTCTTTTGAGAGGAGGACTTTTTTGAAACAGGGTCTCATTACATAGGTTGGCCAAGCTAAACCTGGTATATAGACCTCTCTGGCCTTGAACTCATGGCTATCCTGCCTCTGCCTCCCAACACTGAGATTACAGGTATGCACACATCTACTTTTTGTGGGGAGGGGTTTTGAGACAGAGTTCTCTGTGTAGCCCTGGCTGCCCTGGAACTGGCTCTGTAGACCAGGCTGGCCTCGAACTCACAGAGATCCGCCTGCCTCTGCCTCCCAAGTGCTGGGATTAAAGGTCTGTGCCACCACTGCCTGGCTTTTTTTTTTTTTTTTTTTTTTTGGACCTCTTGCTCCTAACTACCTCCCAATTTGTTAGTGCCGAACCACTTGCTATCCTGAGGACGAATGTCTTTCTATACCAGGTATGCTTGCCCTGTCCTACTTAAAATCCTTGTGGGTGGGGAGGGGAGGGGAGCTGGAGAGATGGCTCAGAAGTTAAGAGCATTCACTGCTCTTCCAGAGGACCCGGGTTCAATTCCCAGAACCCACATGGCGGCTCACAACTGTCTGGAACTCCAGTTCCTTGGCATCTGACACCTTCACACCAATGCACATAAAATAAAGTTAAACAGGGGTTGGGGATTTAGCTCAGTGGTAGAGCGCTTGCCTAGCAAGCACAAGGCCCTGGGTTCGGTCCTCAGCTTTTAAAAAATTAAATAAATAAATAAATTATTAAAAATAAAGTAAAATAAAATCCTTTAGGGGAAAGGGCAGGGACAAAACAATAGTTTTAAAAAGAGACTGGGGGTCACCGAGATGTCTCACTGGATAAAGGACCTGAGCCATCATCCCTGTGGACATAAGTTCCATCTTCAGGACTCACACGATGGAAGGAGAAAACCAATCCCCTCGGGTTGTCCTCTGTCCTCCACACTCAGGTCATAGTATGTGCAGGCACACACACACACACAGACAGACAGACAGACAGACAGACAGACAGACAGACAGACAGACAGATAGATAGATAGATAGATAGATAGATAGATAGATGGAATAAAAATATTTTTAAAAAGAGGCTGGGATGGCCGGGCAGTGGTGGCGCACGCCTTTTAATTCCAGCACTCGGGAGGCAGAGCCAGGCAGATCTCTGTGAGTTCGAGGCCAGCCTGGTCTACAGAGTGAGATTTGTCACTCACAGGTGAAATGCAGAGACTGTGGGGCCTTTGGCCACAGATCGAAAAGCAGGAGGTGCCCCATCAAGTGTGGCTCTGGGCTCCTAGTACCACAGCCTCTGGAAGCCAGGGAGGAGAAAGAGAACCAGGATCCTCATGGGGCCAAGGATCTACAGACCCCAGGGACTGTAAGCCAGGCTGAGAGAGACAAGAAACTGAGGCAGCACCCTGCCCTCCACAAGGACAGACAGATCCCAAACATCAGCCCCTGGGCCCCAGGAAAGAAACCTCCACAGGGCCCCACACAGCCTGGGCCGAATCCTCCAAAGAAACCAAGGCTCGCTCTCTCAAAAACACCAGAGGACTGTAATGCAAGGACTGTTTCCAAGGCCCCCTCCCCAGAGAGCCAGTCCCAGACCACTGCAATGAGCCTTGGAAGAAGAGAGGCTCCTGACAAGAGCAAGAAAGCTGCGGCCCAGGTGCCCAGCGACACTGAACAAACACTGTCGGTTCGAAGCAGAGCTGTCCGGCTCTCAGGCAGACCTTGCAGTGAGTCTCAGGAGACATCGGCAGCGTATGTAGTGGGCCAACCCCTGAGGATGATCTTCGCCAGACTCCATGGTGATTGGTGGGCTTCCAGGTATGTGACAGCGGACCCGGATCTTGCCAGTGAGAAGCAGACATCTCCTCCTGAGACTCCTGTCTCCCAGGAGAAAGGGGCTGGTGCACACTCCCAGCTCCCATGAGGACCTTCAGTTCTCCACTTCATAGGAGAGTGATGCGGAGTGAGCCACCACCCAGCAAGAAGATGCCACCTCCCTGCTCAGACTGCCCAGACACTTCCAGATAACTACATGATGGACCCTTCGGGAGTCAAAAGAATCCCAGTGGACCATTATGTTCTTCCCCAGAATGAACTAGGGAGGTGACTGGAACCTGTCAGGTTCACTCCAGATGGCGGCAACACTGAACACTCCTCTCACAGCTGGACTTGCATCTCCAAGCAAGTAGCCTCCCCTCACCATGGACCCTGGACTCTGTTCAATAACCTCAATGTACAAAACTATGTTCTAGTTGTCGTATTGTGTGACCTTATCCATTTCAGCAATAAGATCGTCCTAGAAATGATGCCTATGCAGTGTTTTCTTTTTGTGCCGAGAACATGGGGTTTTTCATACTCCCTGGCGTTCAGTAACAATCCACAAACCCAAGTGGCATTCCACCTACCTCATCAGTGTGCCAGACACACACTGTGCACACCCACACCCAACTTGTAATCTTAAGAAAGCTGAGAGATAGGACAATCTGTAGGCCTCCCGTTCCAAACTATTGCTATGTAGCTGAAGTCTTGGGCCAGAAATCCAGGTACATACCTACCACAAGGTAGGAAACTCTGGGGACTCACGCTCAGGCTTTCCTGGAGGATGTGCACTTGTACTTACCCTAGCTGAGCCCTTTTCTCCCTGACACAAGAGAGTGTTCAAAATACAGAGTAGCAGCAGGCCTGGTGGTCACACACACACACACACACACACACACACACACATCTATGACATGTCATCCCAGTGGTAGACAAAGGCACCAAAACTACACAGAGAAGCTCTGTCTTGGCAAAAAAAAAGAAAGAAAGAAAGAAAGAAAGAAAGAAAGAAAGAAAGAAAGAAAGAAAGAAAGAAAGAAAGAAAGAAAGAAAGAGGCTGAGGATGTAGTTCTGTGAGAGAGTGTTTGTCTAGCGTGATGGAGGCCCTGAGTCCCATTTCTAGCACTTCCCAAATGATGGGCTGAGGACCACGCCCCAACAATAACTGGTGACAGTCGAGATGAAGCTCTGGAATTCTCATCTGTTTGAAAGTCAGCCCTTCGAACAGCACACAGAGTGCCAGTTTCATCCTGAAATGAATCCTATTTTACGACATCTTTATTTCAAGTTGTTTCTAAGTCTGTGTCAGAATAGCATCCAATAGTTATAGAAATGTGAAAATACAGCATTTCCGACACTCACCAATACACACTGCTGACCGACCTCAATTATCCTATTTAGCCTAAGCTTCCGGGGTTCACAACCTATCAAAAGGAAAGCAAGTCAACTTTCCCCCACACGCCTGAGACGCGCTGGGAGGATCGAGAAGATAATAAAAGGGACCACGGCTCTTTCTAAAGATCATAGGCAGCACATTCATTAGCGTGCTAATTAGGGGCGCCGCTAAGTGATTCACAGAGAGCATCAGCTCAAACCCTGCCTTTCCCTGCTAACCGTTTACGATCCAGACAGACAGACAGGCTGACGCTCACACTCATTTACAGACAAGCCGGACACACACAATGCAACAGGACCATTACATCAACTGACGTTTGAATAAGGCAAACATTTGAGATGGGGACACTCAGATGGCTCAAATGAGAACAGACGCCTTGAACATTCCACTTCTAGGCTAAGATAAACAGACCGGACAAAAAGATCGCCCACCATCGCATTCATTTATAAGAATAAACACAAGCCTCAAAGTTGTTCTTAAAAAAAAATGCCAACCTTTCATTTATCCTCATTCTGAACTCTTGCATCTTCTAAGGTCACACATTTTTGTGTATGTGTGTGTGATGGGAGGGGACTCATTGAATCCACGGTCCTCCTGCGTCAACCTCCTAAAGGCTAGGATTGTAGGAGTGGAGGCTGTAACTGGAAGGTCACAATAATTGAAAGGATTGGGGCTGGAGAGATGGCTCAGCAGTTAAGGGCACTTGATGCTTCTCAGCAGCCATATGGTGGCTTACAATCATGTAACTCCAGTTCCAAGGGATCTGACATCCTCTTCTGGCCTCCATGGGTACCAGGTACACACGTGGTACCCAGACAAATATTCAGGCAAAACAGTTCCAAGTTCAGAAAGAAGAGGTGGCTCAGTGGGTAAAAACACTCGGCTCACAAGCAAGAGGACCCGGGTTCAAGTCCTCAGCACCCACATGAAAAGGTCAGTGTGGTCACAGATGAGGCTGTAACCCCAGTGCTAGCATGGGATGAGAGAGAAGGTCCTCCAGGACCTGCTGGCTCCCAGCTTCACTTCAGGTTCAGTGAGAGGCCCTGCCTTAAGGTAATACAATGGAGAGTTATAAAGAAAGATAGTTGACACCTTCTTTTGGCCTCCCTGAACACACAAGTGCACACACACACATACACACACACACATCATCATCATCATCATCATCATCATCATCATCATATAATAATAATAATAATAATAATAATAATAATAACAACAATAAATAATAATAATTTGGTTGAGAGCAACTGGAAGACATCAGGAATCAATTTCTGGCCTCCACATGCATGACACATCTGCATGCATAAATACACCCAAACAAACATGTACACAAGTATACACATGCACAAACATATACACAAGCATGCACCTACACACACACAAAATGGATACAAATTTTAGTTAAGTTTAATAATTTTTTACCTTTTTATTTATTGGTAGTGAAGATCAATCTTAGGGTTAAGATACAATAAGTTTAAAACAGGGCAGAAGCTGGACACAGTGGTACATGCCAATAATCCCAGAACTTTGCGAGCTGGGGTAGGAGGATTGGGAGTTCAAGGCCAGCCTGGACTACATATCGAGGCTACCTCAAAAAAATAAAAATAAACAAGTAAATATAACTAAGGCTGACCGGGCAGTTGTGGTGCATGCCTTTGATCCCAGCACTCAGGAGGCAGAGGCAGGTGGATCTCTGTGAGTTTGAGGCCAGCCTGGTCTACAGAGCGAGATCCAGGACAGGCTCCAAAGCTACACAGAGAAACCCTGTCTTGAAAAGCCAAATAACAATAATAGTAATAATAATAATAATAATAATAATAATAATAATGCAGCTGAATAATAATGCACTGAAGAAGAGACTGTTAGGAGTATTAACTAAAAGCACTGGCGGTTCTTTCAGAGGACCTGGGTTTGATTCCCATCACCTACATGGTGGCTCAGAACTACCTGTAATTCCAGTTCTAGGGGATCTGACACCTTCTTCTGGCCTCCAGGAGGAACACACACACAGTGCACAGACATACATGTAGGTAAGGCACCCATACCCATAAAAATAAAAATAAATAAATCTCTAAAAATGGAAAAATAGCCGGGCAGCGGTGGCACAGGCCCTTAATCCCAGCACTCGGGAGGCAGAGGCTGGCAGATTTCTGTGAATTGAGGCAGAAGTGTCTGTTACTCCTTTGCTTTTGCTCGTGGCGCCTTCAAAACCTTTTATTCTTCACAAGTTTCTTTTTTTCAATCCCCATATTAAATTAGGCCATCTCGGGGTGGGGAGTCCCTTTCCTCTTTAGCGTGAAACAATTTAAACAAAAAGCCGTCCGATCTGTTTGCCCTTGATTGGGCTAGCCTGGGTCATGTGCTTATCACAGAAACAATCGCAGTGGCCAAGCGCTGGGAACTTGGCATTCACTGCAAACTGAGGGGTCTGAAGACTGTAGGCTGGAGCGAATCCTTCCTTGAAAGCTTAGTGAGTGTTAACCACAGAGCTTGGAACTTTCTCTTGATACTTTGATTTCTGTGTGTGAGCTTCAGCGGCTCAAAGCCGGAGCGGAAACTCCAGTTCCTAAAGAAGCCCAATTTTTCACGTTGCTGTGAAAGCGAAATTTGAATTGTCCTTAAATGCCTGCCTGAGTCAGACATGTGTAGTTCCTAGAATCAGAGAAGGGTGTCAAACACTGTTGGTAAGGAACTGGGCATGGTGGCGCACGCCTTGAATCCCAGGCAGAGGCAGGTGGAGCTCTGTGAGTTCGAGGCCAGCCTGGTCTACAGGGTGAGTTCCCGGACAGCCAGAGCTGTTAGATAGAGAAACCCTGTTTGGAAAAACAAACAAAACAAAAACAAACCTTATTTAGTAGCTGGAGCCCGGGTCCTCTGAACAGAGACTCAGGTGTGGGTTTTCACGAGATGGTCAGGGAATTCCTGAGAAAGAGACTTTGTGAACAGAGTCTCTTTCCAGAGGTCCGGGGTCAGGTAGCTGTAGGTCTTGGAGATGGCATCACAGGAGGCCTTGGCAAAGTTGTCTAGGGTGGCAGGGCAACCCCTGACTGATGTGTAGCCGTCATCAATATTGGCCATTAGCACACGCTTCTTGGGCACAGGAGCAGAGATGATGCCAGTGCCTCTGGGGACAGATGAGGTACACTAGCACAGAGCCACAGCAGCCCGTCACTTTGTGTGGGCTTCCCAATCTTGTGCCCCCAGTAGCCTCTCCACACAGGGACAATGGACAGCTTGGCCAAGGTGATGGCCCCTCGGATGGCAATGGCTCCCTCCTTCACACCAAGACCATTGTGGTTCCTAATAACGACAAAAGCCTTGAACCTGGTCCGCTGGCCAGCCCAAGTCTGTACCTGAACTGGCATGATCTTTAGAACCTCATCTTTTAGGGATGTGCCCAGGAAAGAGTCAATAATCTTGGGTTCCTTAGTGGCCAGAGAGAACAGGTAGATCTCTCCCAGGGACTTGACCTTCCTGTCCCTGGCCAGCGGCCCAGCTTGATGATAGGGATCCACTCCTTGTCTTTGGCTTTACCTCCCACAAGCCCCATGGCCTTGACCATGGCCACAACCACAACCTCAGCCCCTAAGATTGCTGCTGGATTCTCCACAGAAGCCTCCACAGGCTCTTAATCTTGGGCTTCCAGCATCGTCTGCCATTTTGTATTTTCCTGAAGAAGAAACTAAAAGAAATACTTTTGATAGCATTGTTCATGTGTGTGTTCATCAACATAGAGAGTATGAAGGCTATGCATGCATACATGTATATATACATATACACATATATTATATATACATACACATACTTATATGTATGACTACACACTAAATACCATTCTTTCATGAAACTAGAGATATATAGCTCAGTGGTAGAGTGTCTACCTAGTCTAGATGAATCCCTAGGACCAATTCCTAGCAATGACAAATAAAAATCATTCTTTTGCTGGACAGTGGTGGCACATGCCTTTAATCCCAGCGCTGGGGGGTGGGGGTGGGCAGAGCCAGGTGGATCTCTGTGAGTTCAAGGCCAGCCTGGTCTACAGAGCGAGATCCAGGACAGGCACCAAAACTACATTGAGTAGCCCTGTTTCGAAAAAAACAAAAAAGAAAAAAGAAAAAAAAAACAATTCTTTTATTCATTACTTGACACAAATGAAAATACTGATAGTTTTTCTCCTTTCTCCTCCACACAAATTGAACAAAATATCTTTCAGAGACTTTAAAATGAGCCAGATAGTTAAAGAGTT